CAAGAAACTGTTAATTGCATTTTGTATCTATCGTCCTTTTGTATTTTAATGCTCTGTATACTTTGTGGTGAGGGCAAAACCCTATTTCTAAGATTTAACCCCCCCTTTTTTTGTACGCTCTTGTAAGTAAATATAAATAAGCCACAACCCCGAGGGCAATCTTTACCGCAGATTATATTGCTATTTAATATTGAAAACCGATCATATACGCATATTTTCTATACCATTCTCTATGTATTACCTATAGTGCTGACGAGGAGAATTTGTTTAACAATCAAGAGCTTCTACTGTAGGTAAAGAGTTTAAAAGCTGACGTTTCGAGCGTTAGCCCTTCGTCAGAGCGATTAGACGAATGGCTATCGCTCGAAACTCTTTTAAACTTAACCCTTTACGGTGGCCAATTTACGTTATCAACTCAGTAGATAATACTAAATTACCCTGAGTGTGAAAGGTCCGAGCTGGGTACGAATCGATTGGTAAGCTAAAATCGACTTAAATTTTACAAAGGTTTAGATAAGAAAAAATAAAAATAAAAATAAAAATAAACACAGAACTTACGACAAAAAACAAAATTTCTTTTTGTCAGGGTCAACCAAATCAAGAACACATTATGTGGGAGCACGGCTGACTGGCTGACTTTCTTGAAATATTTCATCTGGTTCGTGATTCTGTTCGGCTCTTTTTTCTTCCAAACTTAATTTTATTAATTTACTGGTATTCTAACGTACACATGAAAACAGAAATCCAATTTTTTGCTTGTGAAACAGTGAATCACGTTGCATCCTTCACTTTTTATCTCAGTTATTCCAACTTCCCTAATATCCAAAAAGACGGGGAATTACCTGCCTTAAGTCTGCCGAGGGGTTTGTAACTTTGATCTTTTTTTTTATTCTGCTGTATCCTAATTTCTGAGAGGATTCCTTAGAGCTGGCCAGTAAACTCCGCCGGGTATGAACCAGTCTGAAGCTTTTTTCGATCGAGGGTAGATCTGAGAATTCAAATATTCTTTTTCCCAATAAGAACCCTCACGGCACTATGATATTTCAGAAATCGTTGTTTGAACTGACCACTGTTGTATCGTCAGTGGTGGGATGTTACTTCAACAAAGAACAGAGTGCGGGCAACGAAGATCGAGGAACGAGGAACAAGGAACGGTAAACTTAGAGCAGGCAACGGAGAGTGAGGAACTGAGAACGAAGAACGAAGAACTGAGAACGAGGAACAGAGAACTAGGAATGGAGAACGAGGAACGGAGAATGAGGAACGGAGAATGAGGAACGGAGAATGAGGAACGGAGAATGAGGAACGGGCAACGGGGAACGAGGAACGGGGAACGGGAAACGGGAAACGAGAAACGAGGAACGGGAAACGGAGAACGGGGAGCGAGAAACGGAAATGAGGAACGAAGAACGGGGAAACGGGAGTCTGGGACCGAAATTACACCTTAATCCGCTGATGACCATGGGTTCGAAAGGGTCTGAGCACCAGATTTGAGCAAACCCTCCTCGAGCTCGGACGTTACAGCCATCAGCATGGATGAAAAATGAATTTTTTTTCCAATGATTTTTACTTTAAACGTTTGCTCCAAATTCATAGCAGTCTTATTGTAATCGTGATAGCATAGCAAATTGACAACGGATAGTAGGCGACCTTTGACACATGGCTTTAACCAGGGAATGTTATTTTAATAAAGCCGAAACATTTTTGAACACCACAAATACAAAATGTGCTGTGAATAAAAAATGGAATATCCTAGTAAGCTTTTTATCACGTGTCCTTGATTCTTTATTCTTTTTAAGGTGGTAAAAGTCACAGACTGCAATCAATATTTTTTTCAAGAACACGTAAGTACCTAGCAATAACCAAAGGCTTTCTGGATTTCCTTGTTCAGCTGTTATCTCTAAAGCTATTGGACTGAGGCATTTGAAATGAATATTCCACATACCCGTCTGTCTTCGACCTCTCTATTTCAGTTTTCTTTTGTAATACTTAATCTGTTGGCAATAAGTCCTCGTAAATAATGTTACAGCTTTAAGGCGAGTTATTCAGTCAGTTTACTTCGAGGCACAGAAACGCAAATTACACGCATATGACTTAGCAAATTTGTTGATATAGAAAGATTCCATTTGTCTGCAAACTAACTGTTCTTTTTTTATGCTTTCTTTTTCAGGAAAGTGCTCCTTGTTCATCGCATCACTGCAATAGGATAATTCGTCCAATAGTGATAGAAGTCTTGATGAAATAATAAAGCAACTTGTCAAAAATGTAAAACGCTATTAAATAATGCACAAGGTTATGTAAAAAGGTTAGGTGGATTTGTCAATTTTCACTTATCTTTTTTCAGGCAAGATATCTTCGTGAATAATGTAAATGATATTTGATACCCACTATCATTAGAACTCTTAATATTTATAGCATTTAACAGTTCGCTACCGACGTAAACATTTTCCAATATGCACCAGGTTATAACGATGGTATTATCGATTACAATAAGGAGTGGACTACGGTAAGTCGTAAAGTACATTGCTCACAAGGATATATTTGTGACTTCTCTCATTTTGTGAAGTTATTAGACTCAGATTTCGTCTGTGCTGCAGTAGCGGGAAAAACAACCAGGGGGCTTAAAAATTTTGTAGAAGTAAAATGACTCACAATTTTTAACTGAAATTGTGCTTGAATATTTGCAACCTGTAGCACGATCGCTAAAGCAGACCGTTCTGGAAAATTCACCATATTCTACTGTAGGATGGGCACCATCCAACCAGCCTGACCAGTCTGTACCACATCTGTATGCTGGCACGCGCGTTGTTGGAATTTTTGTTCCTGCGGTTAGCGGATTCCTTTTGCTTTTCCCATTGTTATGAGCCCTGAGTATTAACGCAAGAGGCATTAAGATGGCAGTTGTTCATTTTGACGCCATGAAATTCACTGCACTCATCAATGTCTAGAATAGAACGTCCTCAGTTGAGAGATATGGTAAAGATTTGTAACGAGCAAAGAACAAGTTAAAACCGAGTTATTTTTAGTACTGTGCATACTTTTAATATCAGCAATGTAGTAAGCGTTCAGTGTACAAGAAAGACGGAATATTTTAAGCTCAGTATTTTTATAAAGGAATATATACGTCAAACGTTTCACACAGCTTGAACCGAAATTCTTGCACTCTTTTATTCCAGAACCAAGCTCAACATCAGCTTTTATTTTCTACATATATACATTTCAGCGACCAAACTTAATTTATTTATATAAGTACAGTTTGTAGCCTGTGAACACAGCCGCTTCTCGTGTCTCAGATCAATACTGATCGACAAAATACACAATACAGAGGTCAATACACACAGTCAGCCACTGGATGTATCGCATTCGCAGGAATGTATTTGACCATGAGAATAACAAATCTCCGCGTAAATGTAGTTCTATAATTGATTACACTCCACCTGCCATGTCTGAATTTGTAAATCGCATTGTATCTTTCCATGTTTGTAAATTTTGGGCAGTCCTGGATATTGTTAAAAGTAGCCCAGTATGATGCACAGTCTGATCTAATATACCTTGGCATGACTGTCCGTCCCCAATGTATCCTTCCTTACAAGTGCAATTATAGGAGCCGTCAGTGTTGGTACAATTCGCATTCACGTCACAAGCATGGCTTCTATTCAGGCACTCATCGATATCTATTAGTACAAAAGATATAGAATAATTCATGCAAAGTCTGTCTGTATGGTATTTACGCACGAGCTCGCGGTATCGGAAATCGAGCGAGTGAACGCAGCAAACAAGTAAGATTTTTGATATAAAGCAACGATTGTTTACATACCGCATGGACAGACTTTACATAATTTTTTAGGCTTATCATATAGCTTACACGTACTTAAGGAGAGTAAATTCCTCTTTAGTGACAATAAATTGTTAAACAGACTTAAGTCAATGGTTTATAAATCGATCTTGAAAGATCTAAACCATACAAATTTCCCTTCTCGATAGCAATAATGCAACACATTGACAGCTAGCAAAAAATATCAAGTCATGTTAAGTCTGATGTTCATAATCTTCTCTGTCTTAAAGTCGAAAAGAGCGAATAAACTCCGCAAGATACATGCTTAGTTCCTTAGGTGATATTGTGTGTACTTCAATAATTGAAATAATAGAAATTTTCAGAGCGCTTGTGCGCTTATTGAAAATTTCGGCTAAAACTAGGAGGGGGAGGGGGAAGAGGCACTTTTTTGTCAGGAGGGTCGTCGATTAGTCGAGAGGGGCGCTTCTTAAGTTACCTCAGCAATAGGGCAAATATCAAAAGAATAGATAATGCATAAAGGAACTCTGCAAGCACATGAAGATAGAAAAGTCTGGTATGGAAAATAAAATATTTTGCTGTACTGATTGCACTGTTGTTGAAGGTTGAACAGTTATAAAAAAAAGTGTGGTAGTAGAAACAGATTTTCCTTGTATCTATACTATTTAAAAAGTGAGGGAGGTGGTTATTCGAGCGTGGCCGCATATTCTATAAAAATAATAATAGTGGAATGATATATCTCTTATTCGATGGTAAGAGAAGAAATCTTGCTAATTGCCTTCTTTTATTCTCGTTCCTTCTGGGCTCCGAAACACTTTAAGCAACTCGTAAAATATCCGCACGTATTATATTTTAAACCAGCGAAAATTGGGTATCCATGCATATTATGATATACGTAACTTAATAGAAATACGAGGTCGGGGCGTGAAAACCATTGCGTTGCCTCTTGATCATTAGCCCAGTTACGAAGCCAAAGAAGCATCCTTACTTACAGATGCAATTATGAGAACCATTAGTGTTGGTACAGTTAGCATTAGCATCACAAATATCATCGTTGCATTCATTAATATCTGTGAACACAATAGATTTGCAATGGGTAACTGAATAGAGAAAAAAAAACCCTTCAGCCAGTTTGTCGGATAACAAGGCAATTATTAGTGATGAACAGTTATTCTGCTTTTTTTTTTTAAGTCTAATCTAATTTTACCTTGGCATGACTCTCCTTTTCCAGTGTATCCTTCCTTACAGGTGCAGCTATGGGAGCCATTAGTGTTTGTACAATTCGCATTTACGTCACAATCATGGCTTCCATTGCTGCATTCGTCGATATCTAGAAGCATAATACAAAAAGTATGGTAATAGAAATACGAGAGTGGTGCGTGACAACAGGTCTTTAAAAGGAGGGCTAATTTCCATGGGCAATTGTTTCTGTGCAAAGCTGCTTGTTTTAAATAGTGTGGGCTACTCTTATTCACCTTGACATGACTGTCCATCTCCAGTGTATCCTTCCTTGCAAGTACAAATATGAGAACCCTCTGTGTTGTTACAGTTTGAATTAACATCGCAAACATGGTTGCCACCGCTACACTCATTGATATCTAAGAACAAAAATGAATTGCCAAGACGTTGCTCGACAGAAACAAACATCAGATTTCTAAGTTTTTGAGGAAATAGTTTTTTTTTCTATTTGCTAAGTCTAATGCAGTGATTATACCTTGGCATGACTGTCCATCCCCAGTGTATCCTTCCTTACAAGTGCAGTTGTGAGAGCCGTCAGTGTTGGTACAATTTGCAGTCACGTTACAAGCATGGCTGCCACTGAGGCACTCATCGATATCTGGTAGTACAAATGATATATAGATATAGAATACTTAATGCAAAGTCTGTCTATATGGTATTTACACACGAGCTCGTAGTATCCGAAATCGAGAGTGTCATAATATTGGCTGGCCTCCGTTTCCGGCCAGCGGTCATCATATTAGTACCTAGGTCACCGCATATAAAATATAGGCATTGATCATTATTTACGTGTGATTTATTGTAGTGTTCTTCTTGCTCCGGAATAAAACGTGTGTGTGTCTTACAATCTACGCCTCATGTTCTTTTAAAAAGAACCACAACAGTGGGAGTGAACGCAGCAAACGAAAAAGATTTTTGATATAAAGAAACGATTCTTTACACACCTTATGGACAGACTTTACGTGATGTATTAGGTTTATTATATAGTTTACATGTACATAAGAAGAGTAAATTCCTCTTTAATAACAATTAATTGTCAAACAGACAATGGTTTACAAATCGATCATGAAAGATAAAAACCATATAAATTTCCTTTTTCGATAACAAGGCATGTTAAGCCTGAGGGTTCCTAATCTTCTCTGTCTTGAAAAGAGTGAATATACTCCGCAAGATACATGTTTAGTTCCTCAGGCGATATTGTCTGTAGTTCAATCATTGAAATATTAGACATTTTCAATGAGCGCTTGGGCACTTATTGCAAATTTCGGCTAAAACTTGGAGGAGGAGGGGGCACTTATTTGTAGGATGGGCACTTTGGCGCTTAGTCGAAAGGGGCGCTTCTTAAGTTACCTCAGCAATGGGACATCAAAATCAAAATAAAAGATAATACCTAAAGGAACTCCGAAAGCACACGAAGATTAAAAAAATCTGAAATTGAAAGTAAAATTATTCTGCTGTACTAATTGCATTGTTGTTGAAGGTTGAAAAGTTAGGAAAAAAATGTGGCAGTAGAGACAGATTGTCCTTG